AGGATTGGAACCGGGGCCATCGGCTCGGTGGTCCAGCAGGACATTAACTGAGCTGAAGGGGCTGTGTGGGATACAACAGAGGGATTTTCTAAAATATGTGAGGCAGCGTGGTGGAATCAGGCTCTCGTCAATTTTCGAGCATGTAGAGTTATTGGTGTCATCTTATAGCTGGTTCACTTGTGTTTATTAAGATGGAAAAAAATATCCATTTATCTTTAATACAAGTCGAGATATTTGTGAATGAAGGAGGTGGGGGTCACCTGTTTTCAGAGGTACAATTAGTGAGAAAATGGCCGCCAAAGATGAGTTATATCCTTAGTTTAAGAGTCCGTGGTAACTGAAAATTTACATCTTTTGTGCCTTTAATCAACGTTTTCCACACAGAAATGAGTTTTTTAATGGGCATGAAAGGTGCTGAGCCAAAAAACAAAAATTTGATGAAAACTCACAAACCTGCAGAAAAAAGCAAGATTCTTTATTTTGATTATTTTGACGAGAGCCTGATTCCACCACGTTGACTCACATATATTTCAGCAGATGGAATCAAACTCCCACCCTTCACGTAGATCGCGAAGAGCCTAACCTTTAATCCTCCGTACATTGCGGGAAATCTAACCTTCAACATTTTCCACCCGATGGAGTTGAACTCCCTTCTTTTTGCATACCAGGCGAAGAGCCTAACCATTATCTCACCGACCTCAGTATCATGGATGGTTGATACATTCGATGGAGTTGAACTCCCTTCTTTCTGTAAACCAGGCGAAGAACCTAACCATTATCTCACCGACCTCAGTATCATGGATGGATGAACAGGTCAGCTGAGTGTTTGTTATGTAGACCAAAAAGTAGATCCACAGGCTAACTGGTTCATTAGCAAGTCAAGCCCTATGACTCATCCACGAGATATGTCATAAAAAAATCCCTGTTCATTGATCCCTCTTAGGAAATTTGGTTTTCCATGGAATACATGAATACATAATATATACAAAAGTTCACCAGCGTCACTTCAAAACAATAAGATCGTATATTAAATGACGATCGTGAATCAACACCAACAACACAAACAATGAGCTCGCCATTGTTGGAAGTCGCCACGAACTGTGTAGAGCCCTGTTTTTGATGTAAGGTTAGCGATTCCGCTCAAGGACACAGCCCAGTGACTAGAGGTTGTCAAAATCCGGATAATCTGCAAGGATAACCGGATAATTCTCAAAGGAACATTATCCGAATTCAGACTTAACTAACTCTCTTTCCTGACCCGTTTGTCGAAGTGGGTGCACCCATAATTTGTCGAAGTGGTTCTAACCAATTTGCCGAAGTGGTTCATATCATATTATTTGCCCAAGAGGTGCACTAACATAGTATCCGGATTTTGCTAAAGCGACTCATTGCCCAGCCTTACCAGTGATCACCCATCGAAATGTCATGGCAGCCACATGGTATGTGTCACTGCATTGCGGAATCAGGCCCTCGTCATTTTTTAAAATATTTTTTTTTTGGGGG